TGATTGATTTTCCTCAGGTTGTTGTGCATTGAGTATGAGTTGCCTATAGACTTCATAAGATGAATTGTTGAACATGCTTTAGATTGGAGTTGATATATCCTTCTTGAATATACGCTTTTGAGTATGAATTGCATATAGGCTCCGTGAGATTGTGTTGAGCATGCTTTTAGCTTGGAGATGATAGTTCCTCCTTGAATATGAGTAATCTAAAATTTACATGCATATTGGGATGCTAGGTGTAGTTCCTACCTTCTTTATAATGCATTGAGTATGTTTAGCTTGGAGTCTATGTTTCCTCCTTGGTTATGTGCATTTTGGATGAGATTGCATGCATGATGGATTGCTAGTTTAGAGTCCGTTTCGTTTTGTGATGTCTTGAATCTCATTCGAGGACGAATGATCCCAAGGGAGAGATAATGTAACACCCCAAATTTAAAAGAGGAAAAAATAGCAAAATTTGAGAAGTTGCAGGTGCCAGCCACGAGGGCCAACCATGGCCTATGAGTAGGACCATAGACCGTAGGTGGGGGTCCGTGGACTAGCACCAAAAACCTACCCAAAGGTCGAGGAACCATGGCCTGACCAATGAACCGTCGGTTAGACCACGGTCCGTGGTCCTAGACTCCAATTCCAACTTTCTAACCCCAAACGACGGACCACCATGACGGACCGTCAGTCAGACCACAGTCCGTTGACCAGGGTCGTGGGTCAGGGTCGGCAATTAAGTTTTAGGGGTAGTTGGATCTTTTTCTAATTATTTTATATTGATACTATGCCGTTCTGCCTATGTCTAGGATCCCTATATAAGTGATTTTAACCCCTAAATTAGTTCATTCAACTTATTCTCCTAAAATTCTGAAAGAAGACCAAAGCTCTTCCTCTCCAAATATTTCTCTCTCTAGAAGTTGAAGAAGAAAGGTAAAGCTAGGGCTCAAGGTCAAGTCTCCATTCTCCAATTGCTTGTGGGCATTGATAACAAGGTATGATAGATTTATTCATCCATCGAATCCTTTCATCCATGGAGCCCCTAAGAACCCCCAATTGAAAAGGTAGAATTCCCCAATTTGAGTTAGGGTTTTCTTCCAAGTGGTGGGTATTGATGGATGTTGATCCAATTAATTGGGTAGTGATTGTTTATGCATGAATTGAGTAGAATACATGTTTTAAGGATGAATTTACATGTACCCATGCTTAACTCATAATTCGAAGATGAATTTGATATAAATGAGTTTGATCCACGAAAGGGGAATTTATGGGTTAAATGTATTCTTACAGGATGAATGAGATACATTATGAATTGCTTTGAGAGTGAAGCATGTATGAAGATTATGAGATGTATTGCTTTGAGTGAAACATATATGAAGATTATGAGATGTATTGCTTTGAGAGTGAAGAATATGTTATGAATTGTTGATTATTGATGTGATTGTTGTGGAAGGGATAGTTCCCACATGATTTGCTTATGTATGAATGTGAAAGGCTTTCTCACATTGAATGATTCTTGGTTGAAAGGATTGCTCACCTAAAATAAATCTAGGCTAAAAGACTAAGCAATTGATGAGGCTAGAGGCGATTACCCTTGACCTCCAAATGGGAAGGATAAGAGGAGACCACCCTTATTCCTTAATGTTGAACAAGTGCTGACTACCCACATTCCTATAATGATGATTGGACATGGAGGCGAGTACCATGATCCTTATATAATGATATGGAGGCGAGTACCCGTGTCATATGATGTTGGGCATGGAGCGAGTACCCATTATCCCATAAAATGGACATGGACGGGTGTACCATGACCATATATGTAAGGCAAGAGATGACTACCCATGAGACTTTATAGGAAGGCAAAAATGTGATTCCCATGCCTATAAAAGATAAGCTAAAAATATTATGATAGGTGATGAGCTTGGATAGTTGCTTGAGTTTCCACCCATGATGAGTAAGACTAGTGGAGGATTACCCATGTCTTGGTTAAGTATGCTTTTGAGGTTACTTTATGAAGTATTCCTTATTTGTTGATATGACCTATAATGTGCATTGATTATGCTTTATGACTTATGTTGTCTAACTCTTATGTTTATGTTGATGTTTATGCAATTTATCATATTTTGTACATTCTTGTACTAACGCATACTCTTGCCTATATTTCTTATCCAAATGTAAGGTCTGGCATTCCCGACTCTCATCCCCATGGCTAGGATCCATAATAGAGGAAAGGTTGAAGATTGGTGAGTCCTCATAACATTCGAGGATTTGGCCACCATTTATCTTATGTTCTTTCATTTTATGGTTTGGATATTGTTGTATGGTCTATGTCCCAATATTCTATTATACTACATGGTTTTTGAGACAAGTTATATGAGACGTCCGCTTCATTTTATGAAACTTTGATTCTGTTAAAAATGTTTTAATTCTTACCGTATTTCTATTATCTTGACTATGAAAGTTAAGTGACTTATATGAGGCCTCTCGGGGTCTTGTATGTCATGTTACATCTAAGGGGTACCCCTGGGATGTGACAAACGTACTTGAGTTCTCTTGTAATTTGATGTTGAAATTCAAACCAGTAATTATTATTGGGAAAATATGGGGTTTCATTATAATCTACTAACTACTTTAACCACGTGGATTTTATCAATAAGAAAAATAAACTAGGGTTACAGTTCTTAGATATTAGAATTCAAATAAATACTTCACTATGAATTCATTCAGGTGTGTTGAATATGCAAAACGAATCAATCTATCAGTCTCCAAAAGCCTCTTCGTCCAATTAAAAAGTATCACCTTAAGTTCTTTCATGCACTTGAGTGTCAAATTAATTTGTTCATTCGTCAAAAGTCTCAAGTAAACTATCATCTCTCCAGGTCAAATTATTAAATGGTGGTTGGTAGCACCAAATCATTGTTAATGAACCTTTTTTTCTCTTTGTATAGAGTCAAGAAGGTCAGAATACGAGCGAGTTTCCTTAGAATGATTGTCAATCATTAACAGAAAATATTAAGTATGAAAGAACTTAATACACAATGATCACCCATTCATAAAAATATATTTATTGTAAGGTATTTACTATCATCATCCCTAATCTAACTTTTATAACCTTAGTTATGAGTTAACTAACCATAACTAACGTAAAACAACAACTATTATAATTTAAACTACTAAGAAATATGAATGTAAGAGAAAGTAATAGAAACTTTTGATTAATGCATCTCTTGCACGCGAGTCTTGTTCGTTCTACAATAATCTACTAAAAAACTATAAAGTAAATCCTATAAAACTAAGAACAAGGAATTCTAATTCCAATTCTAATTCCTAGAAGAGACCCCTATAGTACCAGTATGGGTTTCATTGCCTGAGTTACCATGGCATTGCTACAACATGGACTATGTGACAGGCATTCTATCACCTATTGGAAAAGTTCTATACTTGGACTCAACTTCCATACAAAAAACTAGAGGGAGTCAAGCTAGGGTGAAGATCCAATTGGACCTCACTAAGAAGAGACCACCTCATGTTTGGATGGGATACAAGGGAGAAGATATTACTGATGGCAGATGGCAATCCATTGAATATGAGAGTGTGCCTGACTATTGTCTCCATTGTAAACATCAAAGACATGTAGACTCTGAATGTACTGTGAAACAAAGGGAGGAAGATCACAAAAGAAGGAAAGAAATAGAAGCAGAAAAACACCAAAGACAAGGATAACAAGGAACAACAACAAGACAACCAAATGGTGCAGGAGCTGAGAGAAGAATCATCACACAATAAGAATAAAGGACAGGATGCATCAAAAGAGGTAAAGCAACACCAAGAAGAACAATGGCAGACTCAAAAGAGAAAGAGCAACAACCAAGTGCCAACACAAAAAGGAATGCAAGTGGAAACAGACCAACAGTTCAGCAAACAACCAGGTATGACATCCATCCCTACTTACAATACAATTGTTGATCTTGATATGCAGGAACAAACCAATAGTCAAGTAGAGAAAGATAATCAACAAGAAGGAAAGAATGCAACCTTAACTTTACAGGTTGCACCAGAACCAGCTCCTAAATCACCTACACATAGCAAGGTACCAATAAACCAACAGAGTAATGAGCAGGAAGGACAAAACAGGAAGACCACAGGTATTGACTCAGTGCTCTCCAAATCCCAAAACCCCTTTAGTATTCTTTCTGATGTTGCTGATGATGTTGAAGGAGGTATGGATGGGGGGTGTCAGGAGAAGCCAACTAACTTGCAGGAAGGGGTTTCCAAAGGGGGGAATTTGACTCATGTTCTGCATGAGGTTGCCCATACAGACCATAGGCCTGACCTTAGAACTTCTGCTACCACTCAACAAGTCCCTACCAAGCAGAATCACAACCAGGCTAAGGAGATGGAGACTGACAAGGTGAAGAACACAGAAAAAACTTAGAAACAGTCAGCAGTCAAGGATAATACACCTAAGAGTACTCCTAGTAGCAAGAAGAAACAAGGAGATCATCAGGTATCTGCAGGGGAACAACACCATCAAAATGACACAGAGATTACAAGGGAACAGACTAGCAATAAAGTTCAAGGCAGGTTAAGTAAGAAGAAAAGGAAGGCTATCAAGAAAAGACAACAGAATGAGGCTAAAGAACAAAGTAACACAGGCCATGATAAAGGGAGACAGGGGATCAAAATCAGAAACAAAATACTGGTAGAACTAATCCAAAGTCTGATTATGATGTACTAAACTCAGAAGATGAATTGGATGAGGATACTCAATCCATCAATGAAATTGATATTGATGATAATGAGGAAGATGAGGAAACTAGTGCCCAGCTTATTAAGGCATTTGGTTCCACATTCCCCTCGGATTATCAGGATGAAGTACAAGAAGTTACTGCTCAGCAAGGGTTGTCTCCTAGAGGAAGGAGGACTCAGAAACAGTCCAAATAACTGGCTACCACCAGCTCATCTGCTACTTCTAGCAGGCCAAACACAAGGTCCAAAAGTAAAGGTTTTTAATGATGAAAACCATATGCTGGAATGCCAGGAGCATCAACACTCAGGGCTCTTTGGAAAGGCTACAATCACTCAAGAAAATACATCATACATCCATCATTGCAATTCTTGAACCCTTTGCTGACAAGAATCACATCAACAATTACAGAATCATGCTTAACATGGATAATGCCATCTCTAATGACAATGGAAAGATTTGGCTCTTCTGGACCAATGATATCACTTACACCCTCACTGAATGTGATGCTCAACAAATCACTGGTGTAATCAAGCATGATGCATTTGTGGAGAAATTTATTTTTTCTGTCATTTATGCTAAATGTAAAGATCAGTTAAGAAGACCCCTTTGGGATAGAATGCTCCATATTTCAACAGACAATGTCCCCTGGTGTACCATTGGTGACTTCAATGTGATTACCTCAACTGAAGAAAAGAAAGGAGGAGTGCCATATAATATGAACAAAAGCCTGGAATTCATTAGTGTTATTGAAGCTTGTGGACTGGTTGATTTGGGCTATAGTGGTCAACACTTCACCTGGTGTAACCAAAGAGCTGAACAGGCTAGGGTGTGGAAGAGGCTAGACAGAGCCATGGTAAATGACAAATGGTTGGAGATCATGCCTCAAACTAACATTAGTCATTTGCCATATGTGGGATCAGATCACACCCCACTTCTCATGGAAATGACAGTGAATGATAATCAAGGTATCAAGTACTTCAAATTCCTGCATTGCTGGGTTGATAATGACAGCTTCATGGACACTGTGACATCTTGCTGGAATAAAGAAGTGCATGGCAATCCTATGTGGAGATGGCACCAGAAAATTAAAAAGTTAACTACCACTCTTAGTGCCTGGTCTAAAAAGGAATTTGGAGACATCTACTCCAAGGTAAAAGAATTTGAAGAAAGGGTCAAAGTAGTAGAAGATGAGCTGATTAACAATAACACTGAAACAAACAGACAGAATCTTCACTACATCAATACTACCTACATCAAGTACTTGAAACTAGAAGAAGGAATTCTCAAGCAGAAAACTCAACTTCAATGGTTCAAAGAGGGAGATGCTAACACTAAATACTTCCATGCCCTTATGAGAGGAAGAAGAAGGAGATTATTCATTCACAAGATTTGTAACAGTGCAGATGAATGGGTTCAATGGGACAGTAACATTGCAACTGCAGCCTGTGAACACTTCTAGAAAATCTTCACAGGCCATGAAACTAGAATTGATGAAAGAATTCTCCAACATCTTCCTACACTGGTGGCACCTGAGCAAAATATGATTTTGCAGGAGATACCCAATATGGAGGAATTGAAACAAGTTGTTTTTTCCATGAACCCCAATTCTTCTCCTGGTCCTGATGGTATGGGTGGGAAATTCTATCAGACTTGTTGGGAGGTCATTAAAGAGGACTTACTTGCTGCTATACAGTCTTTCTTCAATGGTCAAACTATGCCCAAGTTCATGTCACATGCCTGCCTAGTCCTGCTTCCTAAAGTTGCTCAGCCTAATAATTTTTTTGAATTTAGACCTATCAGCCTGAGCAATTTCACCAACAAAATCATTTCCAAGATCCTAAGTGTAAGACTGGCTCCCATCCTTCCTTACCTCATATCTCAAAATCAATCAGGGTTTGTTAGAGGAAGGAATATTGCTGAGAATATTATTTTGGCACATGAAATCACTTATGGTATCAAAAAACCTAAAGAAGGAGACAATGTGATTATCAAGCTTGACATGACCAAAGCCTATGATAGAGTCTCTTGGGCTTACACTTGTTTAGTTCTAAGAAAAATGGGCTTTAGAGATGTGTTCATTGACATGGTTTGGAGAATCATGAGCAACAATTGGTACTCTATTATCATCAATGGAAGAAGACATGGATTTTTTTCATTCCACCAGAGGTCTCAAGCAAGGGGACCCTCTTTCCCCTGCCCTTATTTATTTTAGGTGCTGAAGTCCTCTCTAGAATGTTGAATCTGTTAAACTATAATATGTCCTATAAAGGTTTCATGATGGATCCCAGGGGCCCTAGAATTAATCATCTTAGCTTTGCAGATGATGTGATTATTTTCACCTCTAGCAACAAGCTTTCGATTAAGCTCATCATGGACACATTGACTATGTATGAAGATACTTCTGACTAGTTGATCAACAAAAGCAAGAGTCACTTCATGGTTCCTGCTAACACTCCTCAGAACACTATCCAGATGATCAAAGATGGTACAGATTTTAGTCAAAAGGACAGTCCTATCACTTATCTAGGTTGTCCTTTATATATTGGGAGGCAAAGAATCATTTATTATTCCCAACTTGTGGACAAGGTGGCTAAAAGGATAAGTGGTTGGCAGACAAGATTCCTCAGCTTTGGAGGAAGGGTGACTCTTATCAAACATGTTCTTCAATCCATCCCCATTCATACCATGGCAACAACTTCACTTCCCAACACCACCATCAAGTACATGAAAAGCATAATTGCAGACTTTTTCTGGGGAAAGGAAGGAGACAAAAAGAAGTATCATTGGGCATCTTGGGAATCTCTGAGTTTTCCTTGTGAGGAGGGAGGTATTGGTGTGAGAATGTTGTCTGATATTTGTTCTTCATTACAATGCAAACATTGGTGGTTATTCAGGACCAAAGAGTCTCTTTGGGGACAGTTCCTTAGAGCTAAATACTGCAGGGTATCACATCCAGCTGCAAGGAAATGGGACAATAGGCAATCTCTTGTGTGGAAATACATGCTAAAAAATAGGAGCATGATGGAAAAGAACATCAGACGGAAGATCAACTCTGGCAACTGTTCTTTTTGGTGGGATGATTGGCTTGGAGTTGGAGCTCTTGGTAATCTCACAAATGGAATTTCTAGTCAAAACAATACCAAAGTGCACCACTTCCTGCTTGAAGGAAAATGGAATGAATTTAAACTAAGACAACATGTTCCTCTCAGATTAGTACCACAGATTTTGAAGATGGACATCTAGTTCCAAGCAGGGTTCAAGGATGAGGCCATTTGGAAACATAGAGAGGATGGAAATTTCTCCTGCTCCTCTGCCTGGGAAATCTGCAGAAAAAAATAATAGAAATCCAAGATCAACACCCACATTTGGCACAAACACATTCCTTTCAAGATCTCCTTCTTGATGTGGAGAGCTCTTAGATTCAAATTGCCTACCAATGACAAGATCATCAACTTTGGTGTGGAACCTGCTAAGTGTTGCTGCTGCATCAGACAGGGATGGGATGACATTAATCATATCTTCTCAGAAGGTTACTTTGCCACTCACATTTGAAAATTTGTCTTAGGGCTGTTTGGAGTTGACTACCAATACACACCTCTGAAAAATCACTTACTAAAGTGGTGGAGTCTCACTCCTAGAAATGAGGTCCACAAACTCATAATTCAAGTTGTCCCTTTACTGGTCTCCTGGAACTTATGGAAGAACAAATGCAGAGCCAAATATGGAGGGAAGAAATCCAACATTTCAAGAGTCCAATTCATGATCCTCAAAGACACCAATCTTCTACTTCAAACAACCTATCCATATATACAATGGCCTATGAACTGGAAGGATGTTATGTGGATAATTGAGGAGTGCAGGCATGATATTAAAGTCATTCCAGTCACTTGGGAAAAACCACCTCCCAACATTTTCAAATTGAATACAGATGGAAGTGCATTAACCAATCCGGGCAGAATTGGAGGAGGAGGCATTATTAGAGATGACTTAGGAAACATGGTATATGCATTCTCCATCCCTCTTGGCATTGGAACCAACAACTTAGCAGAAATACAAGCAACTGTTTATGGTATTCAGTGGGGTCTACAGAATGGTTACAACAGGATAGTCCTAGAGGTAGATTCTGAATTGGTTAAAAGATGGATCACCTCCACAAACAAGCCTCCTTGGAAGCTGATGCAGGCAGTGTCTGACCTTCAAAACCTCACCAGGCAATGTGAATTTTTTCAGTGCAGACACATCTACAGAGAAGCCAATTGTACAGCCGACTTCCTTGCTAAATGGAGCCACAAATTCAGCAGAAACCAGCACTTCTACACCAGCCAGCAACTTCCTCCAGCAGCAAAGGGAAGTTACATTTTGGAAAAAAATGGGGATGACCAATTTCAGAAGGAAGAAGCTCAAGAGAATCAAGCATCCACCTTGATACTACCTCATTAGACTTTTACAGAAAGTTCTGTAGTTTTTGGTACCCTACCCTTTCATTTTGGCTATGGTTAATTTTAATTATAACTATAGTGAATAGGCTTAGGTTTTTTATTCTCCTTTGTAAGGGGAGAGTCTCCCTTAGTTAAATTTCATAGTTGATATGTAAAGAGAGGAGTCCTCTCTTAGGTGTCTTCTTTGAATTTCCTTTAGATTATGGGGATGAGTTGGTTAACCTTAGTAGGATAATTTACTCAAAACCACCTTAGGTGGAGGTAAGGTTTATGCCCCCCTCCTTGTACTTGTGTTTTTATTTATGATAAGGCCTGGGGGTGTTGCTAAGCCCCTGACCCCCCAAAGGGTCGTTCAAAAAAAATAAAAAAAATAAAAAATAAAAATTCTAAGTCCTAATATCTCTTTTAATACTGTCTTTGATTTTCCCTTAGACTATGGGGATGAGCTGGTTAACCTTAGTAGGATAACTTACTCAAAACCACCTTAGGTGGAGGTAAGGTTTATGCCCCCCTCCTTGTACTTGTTATATATATATATATATATATATATATATAATAGAGTCGAAATCCTTATTCCAGTTGAACTCTACTTTGATTGGGTCAAACCTAGTTCGGAGACAAAGAGGTCACGACACAAGTGGCATCGCGAGGAGATCAGCCTCGCGGTGCGAGGAACCCTACCTCGCAGTGCAAGGTTCATCTCCTACGTGACCTTCTTTTGCCAACTCTCTAAAGTTTAGTTTCCAGACATGTGTGACACGATGCTTATCTCATGATTTTTCATTTGGTAGAAACTGATAGTTTTATTAATACCAAAGTTGTTACTTACATACCCAAATAAGAGCTGACCATTTACTTCTCCACAAAACAAAACAGAATTTAGCAATCTAGAAGCAAAAACGAATAGCAACACTATAACTATCTGCTTCTTCATTATAATGTCTTCTTCCAGCTCCATGTCAAGGAAGTCGATCCGTCAGTTGTAGTGAATCCTTCATTTTAGAAGGTGTAATGACACTCTTAGTTGTTTTATGAATTTTAGTCACTTTTCTGATATTAACCCTTTTAGTAGCTTTTATAAATAATTTATGATTTGTGAGAATGAGTGATATAATTTTCAGATTACATAAAGGATTATTTTTGTTGCTAATAATAATTTTAAAAAATATATATGGGCCTAGCCCAAAAGAGAAAGATAATAATAATAATAATAATAATAATAATAATAAAAAAAAATATAAAAGGGAAAAAAAGGGAAAAAGCCCATTACTTTTAGGTTAGCACAACTGACATGAAACAAAAAAAAGATAAGAACACGACCTACTGAAAGGGGAAAAGAAAATAGTAGAAGAAAAGAAAAGAAAGGAGAAAAGAAAAGGAAAAAATAAGAGAAAAATACGAATTTCATCCCAAAACATTAAGGTAATTGATGAGTCTGGGATTTCGACTCATAATTTAGGGCTTAATATTCATAGTTTTAGTGTACTTAATGCCTATCTTATGCTCTAAACTGATGTTTATGTGTTAATTTTCAGCTATGAAGGTGAAAGATCAAGGCAAGGATATTACCCGACAAAAGAGAGCAGAAAAGGTGAAATAGTTGAAGAAAAGCAAGGCTGACGATCGCCGAGACCACTCGGACTTGCCGAGTGGCCCTTCAGCTTGCCTAAAGTTACAACATGCCAGCCCTTACAAAAAGGCAACTCAGCAGTGGAACGTACTATTTAGCGACACATCGATTGGATCGGCGAAGGAAATTCAAACCGCCTAAAGTTACAGGTCGATTAGTGAAGATGCAAGAAAAACTGGGGATAAGAATGAACAATTGGCGCATCAACAACTAGGTCGGCGAACCTGACTTAAATTGCATAAAATCACAACACAGAAAGGGTGAAGACTCAAGCCAAAAAGGCAATGGACAGGAGCATTTGGCACGTCGCTGACCTAGTTGGCGACGCTCGACTTATTCCTTCGAATGACCCTGAAGGCAAAAATCTGGGAATGTATAAATTGAATTTTG